GAGAAACAGAGAGAGACAGAGAGACAGAAAACAAGGCAGAATGGCCATGCCGTTATCTCTTCTCCTCCATTCTCCTTTTGGGATTGTTGGCACACACACACGCGTGAGTTTTAAGCTTCTGTTTCCAAGACTCAAACTGAGGTCAACTACGTGGGAGTCCAGCAACATAACCATTACCATCCACTGGTCCCTATAATTTCTGATTTATATAATATAATAGTTATACATTATTGTGGAGTACAGTGTAGTTTTTAAGCATATATAGTGTATAACAAAGAAATCAAGGAAATAAGCATATTTACCATCCCCAGCATTTATTGTTACTTTTTGTCATGCACATTTAAAATTTGCTCTTCTAGTTATTTAGACATATATATCAAATTGTTGCCAATATTCTTTATTGCACTGTACTATTCTGTATTTGTTCCATCTTGTGGGGACACGTTTAGAGAGAGAACCTGAGGTGTGGGGTCATGCTCTGAGCAAACACCACCTGTCCTTTTGGGCTTTGGCAGAGTCTTGTAACTTGTGCTTTCCTTGACCCTCGCTGCAGACAGAGCAAGGGTGGAAATTGCCAGGGGCCTTCTAACAGACACATCTGATGGACTTCAAGAAATATCTTGACCCCAATTAGCAAAGTCCAATCCCTGCTCTGCATCTGTTAAGATTCTTTAGTTTTCTCTGGGTGTGGTGGTGCACTCCTTATGGAGAAGTTCTTTAGCCTTCTTCCCCACACTTACAGCTAGACTTCTCTGCATTAAAAAAGAAGATAATGAGACTTTCTCTTGATAGGATTATCACCAAAGAATACACCTGGCCCAGTATGACTAAGCCCTTATAAATTTGTTGCCTGCTTCTTATTGTCTGTAACCTAGCAACGAATCTATGAAGTGCGTTTACGTGTGTAGTGTCACCATGTACTATAAATAAAGAGGCCCAGTTTGTCTGGGTGGCTCAAGCAGTGGCTCACGTATGGCACAAGTTGCTTGGGCTACCTAGGCTCAGGCTACCTGTGTTCACTTCTACTCTGTCTCTGTCTCATTCTTTCCAATTCCCTGGCCCTCTCGAGAGGGAGGGCTTTCTCTTTCTCGTTCTCTTTCTCTTCCTCACCAGCAGCCCTCTAATCATGATTCAGCTAGACCCAAGCCCCGGGGCGAATACTAACACCATCTTATTCAGCTGCCCAAGGTGCAATATTATTATTGGGCAAAACAATGAATTAATTAAAGTTTCTGCTGCTTTAACCACATTATTCTGTGCTGCAAATCACCATGATCACTACTATAGGGGCTTTTTCAGGATATTATTTTATTCATCAACTTAGTCCTTATCATATTCTCTAATATGCTGGTTAACCAACCTGATTAAATAATTTATGCCTAGAAATTAATGTATAGTCTTTGTACTGGTCACCCCAGTGCCATGTATGCACAGCCTATAGTATGAGTTTTTGAGATGACAGAGATCACAGTCAAATGGAAGGGAGCTAGAAGCCCACATATTTAACTGTATAAGTGTCACAATAAAGAAAATAACAAAACGTTCACTATAGAAGCATGGAGAAGGGTTAAGTTCTCTATGGGAAATCACAGAATGTTTAATAGATCTAAAGGAAAAGAGAGAGAACAGGCATAAGGAGCAAAGACCACTGCCTGTGTGTGTGGGGGAGTGTTTGTGTGTGTGGGGGGGGAGAGAGAGACAGAGAGAGAAGAGAAGAGAGAGAGGTAGTTAGAATCCTCCTCCCTAAGAATCAGCCTGACTACTTCATGGCAAACTCCTGCAAACACATTACCCTTTCACTGATGCCAAATCCCATTGCTAGGTGTCTCTGGGTTTGCAGCAGACTAGTAGTGAGAAATACTTCAAGGCAAACCTTTCAGGAGATCTTAAAATAACATCCCTTAAAGCAAACACCTGTGGCCTATGTAGGCTGTCTTTCAGATTAGTACATGTCGTTCTCACTGAACTGCATCCCTGAGCAGCTCACATAGTGACATGTTTAATGTAGCTGGGTTACCTAATACTTTTAGAGATTAGGAAGCTGTCAGTAAAATATCCAAGAGGGCTTTGTGAATTGCTTTCTAAAATCACTCTAAATTAGCAATTAATGAGAAAATTTTGACAACTTGTTCAACATTTAGTACAGGTGGGTAAAAAATCAACCTCTAGAGAATTCAATTTTGTTTATCATTAATGCTAGAGTATATTTACCAGATAATTTTTTTAGAGTAGTTGCTTCAATTTATTTCAGTGAATAGTCTTAATAAGTAAATCTTTTCTCTCCCCTTTAAAAAAATATAGAAATTAACTCATCTTGAAGAGTAAAAGGAATAAAGATAAACTTTTGAGTCAGAAATATGCTTAGAGAGGAATATCTGAATACTTAGGGATCAAGAGAACCAACATTTTTACACATAGTTATAAATAATTTTTTAAACCAGCAGTGATAGGTAATTTGTACATGAAGATTCGTATTCCCTTTTGTATTTAAAGTGATTTGTATGTATAGGTTTCCTAGTGTTGGCATGGTTATTTTTTCAGTTATTTCACACTCAATTAATTGTGTTATTTTATAATGTATTAATTGCATTTCTGTAGACCATTTTGTCCCAGAGCCAGAAAATAGTTCAAAATAACTAGATGTCAACAAAATATAAATACACACATAGTTAGGTTATTTAGTTTTTTAAAAGTCAAGCCATGTGACTTGACAGCAAAAAGAAATATACATTTTTCCAAAGTCTCAAAAAAATTGTAAAAATACCATAAAATATCTATTACTTACATGAAGATAGGTAGCAGATACCTAGGTGAAGTTTTTGAGTAACCTTTAAGGACATTTTTAGGTAGTGTATTTGTAAGGTAAAAGACAAACTATAAAACAATCCTTTCAAAATTAATTTCTGAAAAAATTTCCAAGAAAATTTCAAATGTAAATGTTTGCAGGTGGGAATATTATTTTACAGTGCAATGAAAAATTATACATTTTCCTTCATTTTCTGTTATCACATATACATAAGTATGAATGGATAAGCACCATGATCTGACCTGGAAATGAATTAGGGTAAAATTTGAGAAAAAAATGAAAGAATCACAAAGTTCTACATTATTTAAGAGGAAATATTTATTAAAACCTTTCAACTTTACGTCTCCAGAGACAAATACATTCACCTAGAAAATACTGATTACATTTGACTTGCTTGGGCATTAGTGGAGAAATAAGCGAATATAAAGGTGATGGTTACATTCTCTATTCTCAAAACATTTACAACTGAGTTGGAGATACATATGTGCACATAAATACATTTTACTGCTATATAACAACAATTATATAAAACTTTTAAAACAGTCTCTATAAACAAAAACTTACTTTTCTATATTTTTTAACTTACAACACTGGTTATTATATTGGTTCAGATTTCTGACTGAAGAGCATGTAGTGTGTGGACATCAAGGCAGCAACTGAGTATCAAAATATTTAAGGAACAGACCAGATGCAATATTAGTCCCAAGTCAGCACAACCTGGCTAGTATTGATGTATGGCCAATTTGGGGTTTTTTTTTTTTTTGAGAGGTTTTTGCTATAGGGCTCCTGCGCTCCCAGAGAGACAGAGAGGGAAAGCGAGAAATCACTGCCCAGGAGCGGCAATCCCTCCTCTTTCGTTCTCCTTTCAGGATCTTGGGCATGCACACACACACACACACACACACACACACACACACGCCTGGCATGAGTTTAAGCCACCAGATCTGGCATTCAAACTGTGGTTGACTACATGGGAGTCCAGCAACATAGTCATTATGCTACCTGCTGGTCCCAAGGAATGGCCAATTTCCTGCCAACATTCTCACACATGGAGAAGTGTAAACTGCCTTCCAAGGGTGCCTGACTTGTATTTATCTGAGTCTCTAAGTGCTTGTCTTCAAACTAATCCCATTTAAAATTTGTTTATATTTTTTGAAGCTGCCAGGTCTAGTACTCAAACTGTCGGCCATATGGGATCTAGCTTCCTTAACCACCAGGCCACAGGCTGGCCCTTTAATGTTATTTATTTTTAATTTCCATTTCCTCATCTTGAAACAAACTTCCTGTTTAACTGTTTAACAAGACATTCTACTGTGGCTAGAAATGCCTAAAATTTGCAAAATATTATCATATTAATTTGGCCTTTCAAATTGATAATCTTTTTCTAAAGCAACTGAATGGGATCATTTTACTTCTCAACTTTTTTAGTAAGTTAACTGTTAAGCAAACTTTGAATATTTAAATTATGCTCAAATATAACATTTGTTATTAAAAACAGCAATAACAAAAATATCCAGCATACATCCTGGATTAGTATAAATTCTGTTCATCTTTCCATACATTCAACATTTATACATAGAATCTCTGCAATGGGTGATGACATTGAAATTGTGCAAGTTCCTCAAACAACAGATATTCAAATATATTCAAAAGTCTTGATAGTACTAAGGCAAGAAGTGAAAAATACACATTCTTTCACCTATTTAACTTCAGGTAATAAAAAGGCAAACAAGACTTGGAAAAGATTGATGAAAGCAGGACCCTTGCATTCCTAAAATGTTCTGACCAACTAGGATTTTGATACAAACACAAGATTTTATGACAATTTTCTTGAATAAGAATAAAATTTTTAAAAAGCATTTTAGCATCAATAGCATACAAAGTATACACGCTACGATCACAATTTGCAAATGAAATGCTTTCCAAAGCAGGTAATCTAGAACTTGGAATTTATTTTCCAATGAGAACAATGCTGTAAAAGTATAGGTAGCTTTCCAGAACAGATGTACAAACCCTGTTTTGAGAAAATGTTAACATACTATATACCTATAGAAAAAAAAATAAAACACCTGAAAACAATAGTATTGTAATACTGGTAATCTGGTAATGAGAAATAAAAGGAAAAATATAAATAATTGTAAGAACACAGCTTGGTCTCCTTAAAGAAAGAATATATGAATCGCTTAAAGAGAAAATGCAACTATGGATTAGCCAAAATTATTTGTATGAAAAGTTAAAAAGATAACAGCATTGGGGAGGAGCAGAAATTTTTTGTCTCTCTCCCTCTGTTTCTCTCTCTTTGCTTAGAAAGGAGCACAGACTGAGGTTGTCAGGTTCCACCCAGAAGACAACGGAAAGAGTTAAAAGAATAAACACTCAGGAGGATGAAGAAGGAGAGTTAGATGGAACTTCAGTCTTTCTTAGCTCCACAGGCCTGCATAGTTCCCATGGAGGCCTGAAGGGAGCGGGCCCCCAGCCACGAAGAGCTTCATCTCAGGCCAGTTGTAGCAGTGGGTGTAGAGCGCATTGGGGAACTCGTTGATGCCGCCGAAGTAGTTGACCCACAGGTCGTCGTGGTTGAGCCAGCCTCTGCCACAGGTGAGCTTGAGCTTCCTCACTGGCGGCCTGGGAGAGGTGTCCGAGCCGGCCGAGGCCCGCTCCTCCAGGAACTTCTGGGCGCGGATGTCATAGAAGAGCAGGGAGCCGTGGCCGGTGCCCACGGTGACGATGTGCTGGTAGAAGCTCAGCGAGCGCACGCCCGTGCCACCCTCTCGGGAGCACAGGGGCCGGATGTTCTGCAGGCGATGGCGAGGGTCCAGGAAGGAGACATGGGACTGGGAGCCCACCGCATACAGGGACAGCTCGTCGCAGTAGGTCAGGCACACGTTCTCTCGGCAGTAGGGCAGCCTGACGGACAGCAGCCTGGACAGGGTGCTCCGGGCCTTCCACAGGTGGAAGTACCCGTTCAGGGACACGGCCCCCAGCTCCTGGTTGTGGCCGCTGAAGGCCAGGGCCCGCACCTTGCAGGTGTTGGGGTTGGCGCTGGCCCTGGGGATGGCCTCCATGTCCCTGGGATAGATGTGGGCATGCAGGGGGAGCCCCACGTCGCCGTTGTGCCAAGCCGTGCTGCCG